ATATATAAATGCATATACGTCTTCAAAAAAAGTTTTTTTAAAATATCTTCCTATTCGAATTTGGCTGCTTTTCATAGAATCAAGCGACGATCCTAGATGAGAATTTAGCCAGAAGCCAGCCAACCGAACGTTGCATATTAGTCAGATATTTTATTTATTGATTGACGAATAACCATTTAGATGGAGGACGAATGTATTATATAATGTGTACACACTTAGATGAAAAGTACACATCTGGAATAAAAGACTCGTCGTTCTTTTTGCAAATATAAATATTCATATAAATGTAACGGGGATGAAGAGGAAAACGAACAACAAAATGAAAATAGAACGAAAGAAATGGATGTTAAAAAACAAGAACTTGAATGAAAAAAGGAGCGATTCGAGCGCCGCTCAATGGTAAGAACATACACGTATGAGTGAATAAGAAAAAAATTATATGGAATAATGCATATATGTATATATACATATAATACGAATGAATAAATAAAAATATATGTGAATATCAGGAATAATATGTGCTGAGAGGAGATAAGGTGTGAATGTGGAGCAATAATGATATATGTATATATGAAGACAGATGACAGACCCGCTGAGAAATTTTGTTTTTATGACATTTTGTCACATTTTGTTTTGAAAAGAAAAAAAAAACCGAAAAGTTTATACCGATCAAGTTGATTCAATTGGAGTGACGAACAATTACCAGTGAATAATAAACTAAACTTTTAAAAAATTTATTTTTTGTTTGTTTCTACGAGTGAATTCAAAAAAAAACGTAAATGAGCGAGTAAGATATGAGAATAAGGTGATGGATAAATAATGATAAACGAAAACCACGCTCTGAATAGAACTAAATGAACATACATGTAAGGGTGCGACAAAGGAACCATCCGTGTGAGTCAGTTGATCCCCGTCGTAAGTGGGGAAAAATCAAACAAAACCACTTATGAGCATTCATCAGCTTTCGATCAAAACAAAACGTTTCAGTTATGGTCAGCTTAAAATTTTCAGATGTCTGAAACTGGTCATATAAAAATATTGTTCTCGTTAGATTGCAGCCAATCCCATTGCTAATATAAAATTTCGCCACATGAATCTAAATAAATGCACAAATTTGCTTTTAAGATAAAGAATGATTCCAGAGTGATGGCTCCTCATCAGTCACAATAATTCTGTCGTACTTGGCCGTTGCCACTTTAAATTTTGGTGCTCAAAACAGCGACATGAGCAACGCAAACTTCAAGTGGCAAGCACTATCAACACAACACGGCACACGAATGGCTGCATGATCCTTTGTACCTCATTCGACAGATAGATAGATACCTATACAATATTACTAATCTACATATAAAGTAAGCGCATTTACCTAAAGTCTAGTAGTCGATTATAATGATTGCCTTATATGCATCTCTGAAATGTACAGAATATATGTATATGCGAATGAGAGGCACTTAGACTCATAGAGGGCAGAAAGGCAACAAAAGCCATCGACAACACGGTGAAGGAAGGAAAAGCGGTGAAAAATATGGGATATCATACATATACACATAATGATAGTGATAATATGGATCACATAGATATCGAGCCGTGTAGGAAGGCTGTTAGGCTAAAAAAAAGAAAAAAATTTAGTTGAATGAAAGGTGCGCTTTGAAGATGCAATTCGTTAGGTCGCTATAAATATATGAGGCAAGCCTAATGTGATATGTTCTTGAACGCTTTGAGCTATGAAAGTGCAGTTTGAAATCGCTATGAAATGTTTCTTTTAGTCGGAGATGCTCGTAGCATTAGTATAAAGTATTATCATTGAAATAAAAAGGAATGAATAAACGAAAAATAGCCAGCACTTCCCTTATAAAGAATCAGAGCGCATATATATGGGACACAGATATGATATGAGAGATTAAAATCAGAATCTAATCAACTGATTCAGTTATGATAATCAATTTGTTTCAACTGAGTGCAGCATAACATAATAAAAGTAATTATGAATAATAATAAAGTTGAAAAGTTTGTCAAATAAATAAATAAATAATATTGTGAATATAATAAAATATTATATAAAGCATTTCGCCGTAGATACGTTGTTAATTGGTTATATACTGTAATAATTGAATAAAATTCATATTGTTGATGTAGAATAAGAAAAAGATGATGCTCGTTTTAAAGAGATATGAGGTTTTTTTGATATAGCATATAAAATACACATAATAGTAAATGATGACAATTATTTTTTCAAAAAATGAAAGTTAATTGGACCCGACAAAGAGTAGAACAGTGTAGTGACTAGTTAATATGAACGCTTGATTATTGTTTATACAACTGGTATCCAATAAGAAGCATTTGGTGGAAGATAGAGTAAGGTCTGGCGAGGCGTATGACCACAAAATCCACCCATACAACTTTGATGATAATACATATTCACTGATAGCTGATAGGCGAGACGATCGACCATCGCTAGGGTTTGACGTCGTTCATGCGACATCAGACATACCGTGCTTTCACTGATCACTCGATACAAAAGCAATAAATAATCGTATTTTTGCTGCAAGGATTTGTTGAGTGCAATCTAGGTAATATATTTCGATAAGTTCAATTGTAAAACGAGAAGCATTTAACAGTAATTAAAAAGCATGTTGAAAAACGGACAACAAGAAGATCGATTATACCTGATCTTGTGTACCAAAATGATTATCGAGATAAGCCCTCAATTTTACTTCTTGACTGTTCACATCGGGGAAATCAATGAAGAAACGTGAACACATATATCGTTCAAAAAGGCGACATTTATTTGGCCTAGCAGCCTTATAGCCACGTGTTAACAAATGACAATATTTCAGTAGGCCACCTCCTCGGATCTCTTCAGGTCTCCTTGTATCAATGAGTCGTTCATTGAGATGCTGTAAAGCCTGTAAACACTGATGAATTGATTGTTTGCAACAACAGTCGAATTCAATCTATCGATTGCCTTGTTTATGTACAATTTCAACCGATACAGTTTGAAATATGAAAGTACACCACAGAATTGACCCATTTCAAATGAAATAAATTCAAAAATCCTATTCAATATTGAGCTCGTAAGTAAAGATGTGAAATCCATTCTTGCATAGGCTGGTATGTTCAACTGAATCTGAATTGAGTAATCCTTTTCTCAAACTTCTCCACTAGTTTTCATTGATAAAAACAAACTGATAAAATAACTAAAGTGTGAGAATACGACAATCGAATCGAGCAAATAATACACTCTTTGCGTTGCGCTTCACTAGTGAAACAAAGGATGGCAATCATCTGTAAAGCAATAACACTTACTTTATTAATGTCACCGAACATGCTCTCAGCGGTGACAATCGGCTTCGGATGATCCGGCCTATCAAGTAAAACGTCAAGAGTTATTTGAAAACTGTCGACACTAAACTCGAATTGACGACGCATTCTGTCAACGAATTTCAATTCGATGCATCGCCCGAAATCGTTATGCAATGAGAATAATGACCAGCGGTCACCATCTGACACTTTCACCATTTTACGTATGTAAATATCTTTCAATGTGTCAGCTGAGATTTTCTCTTTGTTGGTTGAATCGGGCATCAGTTGCACTAATGCATTGAAAACCGCAACTCTTACCTGAATATGTTATTCGATTTGAAAAATTTAATTGACACTCACAATCAGTGTTAGATAAAATGATATCATTCACTTGAATGACTATCAGTTCAAATAGCAATTTTTGCTAAGAAATACTGAAATTAAAAACAGTTATTATGAATAATCAATACTTTTCTTTGTTTGATCCTTATTCATAATCATTGCAAACTATTTACTGGGATTGTTCTTTGAAATGATGATAGAACACTCACTTTTTCAAAGCTATCTTCTCCTTCGAAGCTCATCGGAAAAATCAAATCGAGATCGGAATATGCAAATTCTTCGGTGGCAACCACATAAGATGCAGCACCACCATTCATTTTGACGTGTTTAGGGCCAATGCCAGCCGCGTAAAGACTGTCGCGAACACACACGATAAGGTCGTGTAGACGTAATCTTAACGTCGGGAAATTTCCCCTGCCGTGAATTTCGACCTGTTCGTTCAACACCGAACGAAGTCTTTGTACCTTAATCAATTGTTTGGGTGGTTTGGACGTTAGCTGACTTTGGAAAAATTTATGGAAATAAATAATGGCGTTTGCCTGCAGGTAAAAGATTGTGATAAACGAAAGCCACANTGAAGGTGCGATTCTAAACGATAAATGAAACGTCACACTTCTTCTGAAGATGAAGCCTTCGTATTGTCAGCTTTTTTAATTCACTTCTTTTTTTCTTTTGTTCAAACGTAATTTCATAATCTCTCTAAGCAATAGTCATCAGGTCATCGATACCGCACTGATATTATTACGTCAAAACGCATTGAAAATTTCAAAAGAGGACAAATATTTTGAAAGTTATCGTCGCAAAACACTATGAATTTAATTATGTGATGAATATGACTGGGATAATTTCGTATGCGATGCAATTAAAGGAATGAAAATAAACCAACTGAAGTGAATCGCTAATGTCATAATCGTTTCGATAAAAGCTAACAAAACAAATTTAAATGTATAGAGTATAAGAAAAGAAAATTAACCTGCTCAGAGTTGAGTTCAGTTGTGCTCATGAGTGAATATATCTGAGAGCTGCCCTCCGCATTCATCTTTGAAGCAGCAGCTAAACTAGATGATGGATTGAGCTGAAATTGTTGATCGATATATAAGGTAAGTAAATTCAAGCGTTTAGCAAATGTAACAATTAGGCGCAATTGATATCACAACGATGCAATAATTAGGTGCACAATCATGCTTACCGTTCTTTGTTTACAAAGTAGGGGTTTGCGCATGATACAATGCTGTTTAGCAGCAGAAAAACGTCGCGTAAAATTTTGACGATGAAGCAATAGCAGCAATCCAAATTAGTGCCTTTCTTCGATCAACAGCACCGGAGACCGAAGCTAGCGATCAATGGCTCCAGGCAAACTACCAGCTGATGTTAACGCTCTCTTCGCTGCGCTTCACTTCTCTACGCTCTCAAAGCGAATTCGATCTCTATGCAACTCGGAATCGTCTCATTCTCTTCATTCACATTAAATTATCATTACTTCTTATTGGTACCGCCCTATGCGATATGCCAGCGGCAAACGTATCTGCCCACGCAGAGATTTGTAGATGAATGGTTGTTTGGTTTGCGGGACGAGGGGATAGTTGTGAATATATCATTAGATGTAGGTTATATTATTCTTATGGGATTCTTGTAAGGAATTTATGAAATTAAAGTGCATCATCCGTTTGATATTAGCAATCGCGTATTGCTTGCAGATCAAATGATTATTCATTTTGAGCAGCACACAAAATATTAAACGTCAGTCGTCGTCAGGAAGGTGGAATGGAGGATAATAAACGAAATTTTAGTGAATTAGACAAAGTGAAGAACCTAATGACAGATAGATAGATACAATCTTATTTAAAAAATACGCTGAGCACATAGCTTTTCCACCACTATCAATTAACTTTGTTATTTCCGAAAGAGTCCCGAAAGAAGCCCTGAAGATGCAACATAACCGTAACTTAGCAAACACCTACATACTTACAACATCATTTGTTGGCTTATCAAAAAAGAAATGCACTTATTTGAAGTAATGATATAATCTATGAACTAAATGTTAATCAATGTGAATATGAATTTTTATAAATCAAATAACTCTGAAGAAATATCTTAAAGGAACATTATTATCAATGATAATGATAATGATAATAATAATAATAATGATAATAATAATAATAATAATAATAATAATAATAATAATAGCGTTAATCGTTCGAATAAATGTGTGAATGAAGACGAAACGGAAACGAAAATGAAACGTCTAAAGTGTAAACAAAGTAGAATGGTTAAACGATGTACGTTGTTCACCATCAACAAAAAAGAATAAAAATAAGTTATTTATTAATGAGTGTAACTAATAAACGATTGACTACTGAACAGCAGTTGGTGGAATGATCGCGTATGATCATCATCAACCCTGTTCTTTTTTTGATCAACACAATCATTCACTGTTTATTCACGCACTTGGATTATGGACATCTCGACGTCGTCACCTCTCATCGAAAATCTATTCGAAGTGAGGTGATCACCGCTGACTACAATCAGTGTTATCACATGCTGAGAGATATTTGAAAATATGGAATGATTGATACTTTCGTTATTCAATCAAATCCTGCTCTTTTCGGCGAATGAATTGCACAAAGCTATCAATAATACTTCACCACATTTGTTTCATTGTTTTCAGTTATTCATTCGCATATTCGCTTCGTTGGTTAGCGAGTTTTGGAAAGAGGATACACCGTAGGATTGATTGTCACGAAAACAAGGCAAACGGACTGAACTGCATCAAAATAATCTGCTTGCACACATGAATTTCAAATGCAAACAACAATTCTGTGAGGAGTGAGAAAGAAAAAATTTGGAAGCAACTGAAAAACTGAGCAAATGGTGTGAAAAGATAAAACATTTCTTATCGAAAAAACGATAATGCTTGATATGAAAGCGTTAAAAAGTTAATCAAGAAAAAACAATAAGAAGAAAGAAATGACGATGATGATCGTCAAAATTCGGAAGCAAATGAAATAAAAAAGCACTTTTAAAGTTTGTTGAGAACAACACCATTTTCGTATTTACACGTACTTGTGGTATAGCGTCATTTAATTCAGCTTATAAATTGTGTACGGAAAACAACGACCACGCAATAAGAGGAAGAAAGAGAGCTGAACAAAACGAAGTGGATGGTGTGCGATTTCTGTTTAACGAAACGACATTCATGCTTCATACGGCTGCAGTATGAGCGAATCAAGTGACGCACTACGCTTGATTGTCACATTCAGCACAAGATATCATTCGGTTTTATTATTTCACAAACATTCGGTTGTCCATATACGTTATGAAAACAACATTATATAATGTAAAACATTACAATAGCACCTAATCCAATATGCACACTTTATCATTGGTTTGTGATCAGTAATATCATGCTGGATTAACGATGAATTGTGAACAGGAATACATTCCCATTGATAACATTTTATTCACTATTTGATTTCAACCAAAAGTCGATCATTCAAAAATGCACATGTCACAGCGAATATCGTATTTTATAAAAATTTCAAAATCTTAAAACAAAAACAAAACTCTTTTTTATGCATTCCAAATCCCTGATGCATCTTGTGCATATCATTTCTGAATGGCTAAACTTATAGGTTAATAGCAAAAACAACTGCACTGATTAATTACACTTTATCAACAACAGAAATTCCATATTGGATTTATCACTAAAAGAAAAGTGAAATTATACAGAAGCAAACTTTTGTGGTAGATACAATGCATACGAAGGTTGTGTGCATATTTGTTAGTTATTTGTTCCTATGAAACACTGAACATGACAAATCACTTCAAAATGCATAATTATACAAAGTAATGTGGCTTCTTGATGACGAATCAATGAACAAAATGTTTTAATTCATCTTAAAAAATCTTTTTCATCTTTTCTTTAAATAAACTTTCCCAAGCGTTTAGTCAAAGCGCTCGCATGAAACAGAAAATCCACAACTACCTTTCAGCTAAAGCGCCTAATTCATCAGAAGAGCATTCCCAAATTTTGTTTTGAAAGCATCTCCTATATTTTTACAACCCGTGAAGCATTTCATCTAATATTTTACTGACAAAGGATGTTAGTTCTGGCAAGAAAGAATGATCAGTGAGAAGATCAGTAATATGAGGCAGATTCGTGTAGATGAACTCTATCGTGCTAGAACAATTATCCTGCGAAAAGTCATCAAAAATTAATGACATTGAATGATGCATCAAAAAACCCTTCGAGGTGTTCATGTCCGCATTTCAATCACTGAAATATCGAAATTTTCGTGCGATGCAAAACTTTTGTTAAGCAGATTACAGACGATTAAATAATAATAATCGCTAAATGCCGTGTCTTAATTGGATGGATTTGGAATGACTGAAACAAATGAAAGGAATGTTTGAGATGTATAATAATGACGAAACAAACGAGAAATGAAGAAAAATTTGTTGAATGATGTCATATCACTGCTTTGTTGTGTGTGCTGACATTTGCGACACTGACCAGATCCTAGCTATAGCCAACTGATTCCGTTCTCCTCATTCAGTCGCACTGCTTTTTGCCACCGGCATTCATTCACTCACCTATTGCTTAACGCACAGATAGACATAGTTGTATAACATACTCATTCCTCTCACATTATGTTCTACTTAGCATCATCAATCCCTCAAAAATGAAACTGAGCTATCTAAGAATTCCTTCAGTATTGTCCTTTCATACAATCCATAGCTCAATCCACACAGTTTTCATTCAATTTCTTACCCTTCTTATGCATTTATCGTCTCCTCAAGTTTTCATATCCTATTTTCCAAACCCAATAATATACACTTAAGAAAGTCAAGTAAATGCATTAATCTGTGATTCACTTCTTGCTCAGTAATCATTTTTGCAAAGCTCATTATTGGTATATTCAACAACAAAATACCAACCGAGGTCAGGTCGCCCTCCAGACCTTCATTCCACAACAACCAATTGAGAGAGATGGTGGAGTCGGACCCCACTCAGTCTCAGGCATAGATGGCAGACAAACTTGGTGTCTGCCGAAGAACTATTTCAACCCACCTACGGCAGATTGGGAAGGTCAAGAAATTGGATCGGTGGATTCCACAGGAGCTGGACAAAGCGTAGCAATTCAGACGTTTGGAAATTTGTTCTTTATTGCTGCTCAGAAACAGCAGTGATCCATTTCTCGATCTAAGCGTTACCGTGGATGAAAAGTGGATTGAATATGATAATCGGCGGAGGTATACTTAATGGCTGGACGTAGGTGAGCCGTCAAAAATGATGGCGAAACCGGCACTGCGCCCACGAAAAATCATGCTCATCGTTTTCTGGTGTACCACCGGTGTGGTGCTCTTCGAATTCCTTGAACGTGAGCAAACCATCGACGCCGAATACCACTCACATACACTTGAGGTGGCAAGGGATCAATTGTTAAGAATAGAGCCAGCACTGATGAACAGAAGTGGTCTGATCCTTTCACAGTATAACGTCAGACCACACGTTGCAAGGACAACCTTACAAAAAATTCATCAATTAGTTTTTGAGATTCTACTTCACCCACTTTACACTCCGGACCTCTCCCCAACAGATTATCATCTGTTCAAAAACCTAGAACTTTTTCTGCGTGAGAAGGACCTCCCAAATGAGACGGTACTAAAAGCTGACGTTCTTCGATTTTTTGATTCCACGAACCTCGGTTTCAGCACTACGGGGATAAAAGCCCCGGTTTCGCGTTGGCAACGTTGTAGGCGAACGGTTTTCATTCTCAATTAAAATGTTGATTTTGAATCGAGTTTAAAAACTTTGAAATTTTAGTCTAGCTGCTCCAGAACTTTCTGCCGTGCCCATATATA